GTGGGGCAGACTTGGTGTAATTGTGCAAACTCGATCACTAGCTCTGCATGATGTGGCAGAAGCGAAGGGAACCAGGTTTGCAAAAGTAACTGTGGTGATAGAAATGTGTTAGCCTCAGACACTACTGAGGTGGCTTTCTATCCTAGTACAGTCTAAGTACTGGTTACTGCATTTTTTATTGGCTGACAAAAAAGTTGCTTTTTGTTGCTCTTTCATGTTTTGATCTTTAAATGGAATAGAAAGTAATACTTGATGAACATGTAAGCATAAAGTGATGTGATGGCCTACAAATACAATGTGTAGTAATCAGTGTATTTAACATTCACCTCAAATACTTAACACTTTGTGGTAAGAACATTTGAAATTTATTCTCTTAATTGTGAAGCGTACAATACTCTATATTATCATGCTGTGCAATAGAACTAAAATAAAACCATATTCCTCCAGTTGGAGGTTTTATACTTGACTATCTGCCCATTCATTGCACCCACCACCCCCACCAACCTCTGTAACCACCATTCTTCTCTCTACTTCTGTGAGTTACATTGTTTTAGATTCTATATGAAGTATTTGTCTTTTTGTGCCTGGCTTACTTCACTGAGCACAATATTCTCCACTTCCATTCATGTTGCAAATAACAATTTCCATCTTTTTTAAAAAAGACTGAGTAATATTCCATTATGTATATGTATACCACATTTCCTTTATCCATTTATCTGTTGTTATTAATATATAGTGCTGCAATGAACATGGGAGTGCCACTCTCTTGGACAAACTGATTTCAAAACATGTGGGCAAATACCTAGAAGTGGGATTGCTGGATCTAACATGTCTTCTATTTGACTTTTGACCCTGTGGTAGTAGGACATTATAGAAGTTGGGGTTTGGGAAAGTTAGCTTAAGATCATACATAAGTAAATGTATTTGAACTTGGATTATTTAGCCTCCTTGTGATTGCAAAGTCTTGAATATTCTCTTAAAATAAACTTTATTAAAATTAAAATTTTAAATTATTCTCTATTCTCTTCAGTTATGGTTTTAAAAATATATATTCCTATCTTTTGTAGGTGGAACCGTCCCAAAATGTCTCTTGCTCAGAAGAAGGATCGGGTAGCTCAAAAGAAGGCAAGCTTCCTCAGAGCTCAGGAGCGGGCTGCTGAGAGCTAAACCAAACAATTTTCTATGATGATTTTTCAGATAAAGATAATAAACCTACAGACAGAAACTACTTCTGTGTTAAGCTCTTATTCTTACGAACCTTATAGGAAATACCCTGAAATATTTTATAAAAGCAAAGGAGTTGACAGGTTTTTTCCTCCAAGAAAACAAGCGTAACTTTTTAAGAAAAAGTTGTTATTTCTTGGGCTTCTGTTTTACCTGACAGGAGTCATTATCCCTTATGTTGTATGATGAACAGTTCTTCCTAAAAATCTGGCAAGCAACAGACCAGCCATCACTGGGAAATATTTCTTCTATCCATTTATTATAACCGGATGATAAATGGGAAAAGTACCTTAAAGTAAACAAAACTGGTGCTAATCCATGGCATTGAAGGAAAGTTTTGAGAGAAAGCTGTCCAGTGAAGGTCACATAGATTTTTAACACATCCACTTTAAGTAGGTGAAACCTTTGAGCAGAAAATACTGGATCTTTTCTCCAAAAGGTGTTTAATTTTATGGAGATGTTGAAAGGTACATGCCAAATCTGAGTATATGTGTGAAAATATGAAAGGAGCAAATATTAAACCTTGAATATCAAGTTTACGTGGGGAAAAAAACATTAGATGAATACATTTACATGCCTCTTTAAGAAATAGCCCTTTGGCCCACAGAATATATACTGTTTGAAAATGGAAAGTTATTCTTAAAAGTCTGCTATAATTTATTTTAGTCTTGCACTTACAGTCCCACTTGCACAAAGATCAAAGTCAGGATATGTGGATCTTGATTGGGCCTTAAGATGTCAGTTTTGAAGGGCTCAAGTCAGCTGTGTAATGCTAAGATGGGCCCTTTGAATCTTTAGGAAAGTTCATCCATTTTCAGTCAATAAAATCGGTGTATTGTCAAGTATAAGATTTCTTGAAGTAAGCCACTTGAAACATTGTGAAGCTACACATAACAGCTGATGGCTGAATGAGGTTAAAAATGGGTGTATAAGTCTTTAATAGAATAAACCATGCTATTAACCCAACATCTGTTTATAAAGGAGCAAGTTTAACCTGCTTTGCAGTCTTAATTTCTGTTAATGTGCAAACTTTACCATGCTAAGACATTAGTACATTTATAAATTTTCTTGTTGAACAGCAGCTTCAATGCAAACACAATGTTTCCAGCATTGGTATTTTGACTAAGGTAAATCTACAGATGACTCACTATTGATGTTTATGGAATGAGGCTTTTCACAGCATTGGTTTTTAAAGTCAGTCAAAATAGTTAAATAATGAACATCGGAGATGTAACAGGGTTTCTAAAAGGGCAGGAATGACATCTTGGGGACCTGTTGATCTTACACCTGCCATTACTTCAGTAATCACATACTGGTGGCTTCTCAGGCCTGGGGGAAGGAGTTTTGTGTAACTGGCAGGAATCTGAAGCCATTTTTTTAATGCTCAAAATTGTTCTTTAAAAGTGGCAAGTTTCTTAAAATTGTAACTATGTCCAAATGAACTAAGAGTCATTAGTGTAGGAAATTTTCTTCCACAATAATGTTTTTAGGTTATTTAGTATCAAAGAATGTTCCATTTCCATTTGATTTGCTGTGACTTTGAGAGCAATACAAGAATAAAGCTGCTTTTCTAATTCTTCACGAATTTCACTTGGAGCACCACGCAGTAGGTAGTCTTTGAGTAACTGACAGGCTTTTGCCAAGTTTGGTTGTATCACTTCTGAAGTACACTTCATTGTACTCTGATCACAGCTAGTTCTACAATCTGTGCCATAGACACAGTCCAAATCAGACTCACAGTGACGATCCTTAATAAGTTCTTTCAGGTTTGTCTCTGGCACAATTTTTCTCATATCCACCATTTTCAAATCATACTTATCATTATATCCTAGGTTTTTGGCACTAGTATCGCACATGAGGAAATTTCCATAGGGGCCATGGAAAACATCTTCCACAAATTCTAGAAGTCCTATGGCTATTTTTGCCTTTCTTGGCCATGATGGTGTGAACAGCTGATCCATGCTTCTTCTGAACCCAGATGGAATAAAAAGTTCAATGACCCAAGGAAGGCTTATTCCATAAAGAGAG